TGTGTGTGTAAGAATAAAACCTTGAAAGCAAGGAAAATGAAACATATCAGAAGAGAGGATTTGAACAACCTTTTCAAGGATCCTCAACTCACTTAAGCTTTTTACAGAAAATACCCTCATGTGTTTTTGTTTCCACTCTGTGAGAATACCCAATTCAAAGCCTGTCGCAGAAGGGCAGAAAGACTCACTATGATACGAAATTTAAAAAGTTGAAAAAAAGCCACATTAAAATTACCTGAGTCATTTTTGAGGACAACTTAAGTCACGTTGCTGAAAGTTTCCTAAGCATGCAGTAGTATTTCCCTGAAATGAGATTCCTGTGAAGGAATCTTGGGTAATTCTGAATTACATTATAGCTCCATTTATCCCTGACCTGCAACTTTCATATGTATCAAGCTCAGAAACAACTCTGGCCCTAAATCAAAAACGATTTTATAAAAGGTAGTTTGGAGAACAATGCTAGCTACCACAGCAGTGTATTGGCAGAGGCAACTACATTGCATAGCTGGTTTCTGCCTGAGAGCCACCAGGGCTGGAATTTGCCACAGGATAATGAGGGGGACGTGAGCAAATAAGAGAAATAGCGAAAAGCTGAAGAAAAATAAATGAGTTAAATGAACTATTCATCCCTTTTCGATATAATGATACCATGCTGTGTTTACATTAAATGTGCTAATTTTGTGTAGAAGTGTCTTCAATTCGATTTGAAAATACAGTAACAAAGAGGAGTAACAGTTGAAAAAGTTAGTGTCTGGAGTCTAGAGGTGGGTTTTGACTCCTTGATTTATCACTTAAGAGCTGTGCTACTTCAGGCAGGTTACTTCATGTTTCTAAGCATCAGTCTCCTCTGTAATACAGGTATGAGAGCATCTTCCTTACAGAGTCATGATGCTTAAGTGAGGGAATAGGTAGAAACAGATTAGCACAGTAAATGGTCCACCCTTATGTGTTCAACAAATATTAGCCATTATCATGGACTTGTTGCCTTTCTCTTTTGGGTAAGGGGGTAGTAAAAGAGAATAGCAATTGTTTACCTCTCTTACAAAGCTTGTGAAATATTTTTAACCTGCTTAGGCAATGTCATTTGGCCATGCTTTCTATCAAAAATTGCTATGAAATGCAAAACAAATTGATCTTGGTAATAAAACTGGACTTCAGAAAATTGACATGGTAAATTTTAGCAGTAATAGAAACAATGGTAGATTTTTTATTTAAAAAAATACCTATTTTGGGAGGCCAAGGCAGGTGGATTATGAGGTCAGGAGTTCAAGACCAGCCTAGCCAAGATGGTGAAACCCCATGTCTGCTAAAAATACAAAAATTAGCCAGATGTGGTGGTGCATGCCTGTAATCCCAGTTACTTGGGAGGCTGAGGCAGAAGAATCGCTTGAACCTGGGAGGCGGAGGTTGCAGTGAGCCGATATCACACCACTGCACCCCATGCTGGGAGACAGAGCAAGACTCCATCTCAAAAAAAAAAAAAAAAAAAAGAAGCATTTATTCAGCAATAGCTGAATTCTAACAACTTCTTACATTATTTCTTTAAATTATCACAATAACAAGGGCCAGATTTACTCTTGTGTTTGAGTAGAAGAATTGCACTCTATTTGTCCCTTTGAACTCTAAGATCAGGAAATAAAAAGCCAGAGACTTTTTGGTGAGCATGGGAACAGAGCTGTATGTCTAATTCGGTAGCTGGAATTTTGGGTAACAACACCTGGCCTCTGATGGCAACAGCTATTCCAGCCACCAACAAAGTCTCTAAGCCTTCCACAGTCATCACATCTGGGAGCTTTACAGTGATCTTGCAAACCATCAGTGATAAAAGGCATGTTATCACTGATGCAGAATTATAAAAGTACTTTTGGACACCTGGCTAGCTGCTTGGCACTAGTACTCCCCTAACTTAAGGCTGTTTCTCTAGACCTTGCTCATGGAGCAAATCCTAAGTAAAGCTTTTATTAGGAGGTTTCTGTCTTTCCCATCCTAGTAAACAAATTATAAATTTGTTAAGCAAAATATTTGACATCACTGCATAGAAAACTTAATGATACACTGCAATTTTAGACTGTTTGTCTTATGTACCCAACCCCCGCAATTATTCTTTCACATGCATGGGACTCCTGAGAAAATCCAGACCTTGCAGTAAGTTTTTCAGGATTTGATTCAGCCTATACTCAATTTTTGTCATCTAGAGATTCGATAAATGGTCATAATTTTTATGCAAATTATTTATTTTTCAATTTTTGAATCCATATACTAACTTGTATTTTATTTGAAAAATGTAAATGAAATAAATGTAAAATAAATAGATTGACAGTTGAACAGGTAAATAAAGGTCTAAAACTGGTAGATCAACCAAGTCTTCCAATGGTTTTTAAATACAGCCATTAGAATTTGTTTCAGGCTAAAACTGGACATTCAAAGCTGATGGTAGAGATGGATATTGCTATTCCAAAGAGCTGTTTATTGGTTAGGCTGCTTCTTACATATAAAGCAGTGGGAAAAAAAGTGAAAAGAAAACACTTTCTCAGGCTTCTCATGATTTTTTAATCTATTCTGTGCAAAAATATGGCTTACAATTTATTGCTGAAATGTAGGAACCTGAAGATTCCCAGTCCACACTTTTAAATTTAACAAGTATCTCAATTACTTGCAAAGTGATCACTTCCAGAACTTTACTGCATGCCAGGGATGCCCTTCCACCTGTTCAGAGAAATTCTCCCATGCCCAACTGAGAACATAACATGACAATTCATTGTTTTTGTTTCATAAATAGATAAACCAGTAATTTGAATCATTTTTCTTCCATGAGGCAAGAAGCTACAACAATCATTACTTTATAATAATTTTGATTTTACTAAATTGTTTTTGAAATGAACAATAGGAGATGACAAACCCATGGTTTGCATCAGATACTAACCATTTCCACCTGGAAGGTTTTTTTTTCTGTACTTCAACAAAGGCATGAAATAACATTTAAGATTCTAGAGAAGGCCGGGCGCGGTGGCTCAAGCCGGTAATCCCAGCACTTTGGGAGGCCGAGACGGGCGGATCACGAGGTCAGGAGATCGAGACCATCCTGGCTAACACAATGAAACCCCGTCTCTACTAAAAATACAAAAAAATTAGCCGGGCGTGGTGGCGGCGCCTGTAGTCCCAGCTACTCGGGAGGCTGAGGCAGGAGAATGGTGGGAACCCGGGAGGCGGAACTTGCAGTGAGCCGAGATCGGGCCACTGCACTCCCGCCTGGGCGACAGAGCGAGACTCCGCCTCAAAAAAAAAAAAAAAAAAAAAAAAAAGATTCTAGAGAATGTTATTTTCTTAGTGTTGCTTAAAGTTTTTTTTTTTTCCAAATAACAAAAGCATTTTCTAACACAGTTAAAACTTAACCAGTGTGTTTAAACAACAAGTGGATCTAACAGTTTTCCTCTGAGCCTTTGATCTTGATATTGATCATCTTCCTTCACACATTTCTGTGTCTAAGAAAGGAAGAATATAATGGGTGCAAATACATTTCTTTGAATCAAAGTTCTATATCATAATAATTTTTCTCTATTACAGATAGAGGTGTTGTTGATATAAAAGTTCCGGATGAGTGTCTACCAGCCCAGAATAAGGGTCCTGAAGGTTTGGATTTTTTTTTAAAATAAAAATGCTTGTGGGAAGTTTGCTACATCTTTTCTTGTTGTTTTTCTTCTAAAAAAAAAAAAATCAGTAAAACATTTCAGTCTATGACTGTTAGTTAACTGTGCTCTGTGTTTATAAAACTGTATAAGCTACATTTCATTGGGAGGTTAGAATGCAATATAGAGGGTTGGAGACTGAAGCACATTTTTATCTCACTTTGAATTTTGGATTACAAAATGACAGATCAGACCATATAATGAGAGTCATAGTCCACTAATCAAATGATCCTTTAAAAATATTTTTTTTTCCTTTCTCACTTACTCTCATGTTTGCTAAGAGCCAACTAATTCCTAAGTGATGACTTTTGATAAATAAACTCCAGAATGACAAGATTTATCTATGACAAGTATGTTCAGCAGCCAGGACTCATTAAGCTCTTATTGCCTGTTGTGCCAGAGACACTGTTCTGACAGTAGCTTCTAAATTCCATGGTAAATTAATTAATATATTGATATAAATTGTCATCTAGATATTTTGCAGCATTTCAAGAAATGGACATTTAACAGAGTAATGGGTGTTCGATTTGCAGTTGACTCTCATTAATCAAATTGGCTATTGAGTTCTCACTTTAGAACTCTGTGGTTTTGTTTCTCTTGCTGTACTTCTATTATTTTCTATATGAAAACGGACTTATTTCTAAGTACCATGAGGGGAAGATAATGAATTTGTGTTCTTAATTTGACATCTTTTGTTAACTTCTGAAACACTTCAAGTTCCGATTCCCAACTTGTGGCTTTAGAAATTGGTCACCTCACATATTTCTTCATCTGGTTATTTTGCTGAGATTGTGTACAGCAATTAGTTTTGAAAATAAAGTTAATGTCCATAAACAATGCTATATATATCTCCAATCTGCTATAGGTAAATTGAGCATTGAAGCCCTCCAATGTTATCACAATTTCTTCAGTTGCGTTGAGTCATTACAGTATAATCAGGAAAATTCAGCCACAATCTTCAGGCATCTTGACTCTTAAAGCAAAAATAATGCCTTCACTTCTTTTCTTCTGCTAAATAAAGACTGGTCAGGAAATAATTCAACTACATATAATTAATTTAGGAGACCTCAATTATATCCTTATATTCATTGATTTTTGGTATTCTTGAATAGCATGACAGCAAACCAAAAATGTGTGCGATTCTATATGCCACAAATTCCCCAGGCTTCAGATTGAAACTCTTAAGTTGTTTTGACTAGGCAACTAACAGAAGTTTAGATAGTTCTGTACAAATTTAGAGATGCAAAGCCATGACCGTATTCCAGCACATTCTTCTTGTCAGAACCATTTAAATCACCATCTTACACAAGTACATATTGAAACTCAACTTTAAGTGTTTTATTTTTATGTACATTTCATTTTGTCCAGAAATAAAATATCTAAATACAGACAGACTGTAATGTTGTATATGTATAGCTTTCAACAATACTTGATCTGAATAAATGCTCTGTACATTGTTTGTCTTTTTAATGGAGTTCACAGCTACATCGATAAAATGAATTCCTCATATCCTTTTTTCTTAACCAATAACAAGCAGAGAGACAAGTACAAGTTAATATTAATAAGCAGCTCAAATAACACTTGGTTAAACTATGTACAGTACAAACCATTCATACAAATGAAGACTAGGATATTGAATTTGTTACAATATGTGTAGTAAAGATAAGACAGACACTTATAACTTACATGGTGTCTGCCAGGCATTTCCCTTCTTATATAATGATCAGAACTTATTTTAAGCAGCTTTAGCTGGTCTCAACTTCACAAAAGTCCAGTGATTGGTGATGAAAGTTGTTATACCAATGTCTGCCCACATGTAAATTCCAAATGTTTGCTCATCTTTACTGAGAACAGGCCCCTTTCATAGAAAAAAGAGCCATCTTGGACCACCCTGAATGTGCCTACTGTATGCTGGAAAAAAGTTACTACATTTTGTTGTGTTTGTAAAATAAAGAATACTGAGCTCTAAAGACACATTTTTCCATTTTAACAAGCAGATACTCCTACAATAGTATTTACCAGTACAGCTACTCCAAGCAGTAGGAATGCATGAGTGGGGATTATTGATTAGCATGTACTCAAGACTTTAAAAGAGATTTCCATAACAGCGAGTGTTAGAAACATTCTCCGTCTAGTTAATCCTTCTGTTTGATGATAGTTGATCCCTGAACCATTATGAGTCAGACAATGAAAGCCCTCTCAACAGGAATCACGACAGATGCAAGCTGAAATGTGCATGACAGTGTGTTTGTGTACCTCTATATGTGAGAGCATGTCTTCAGGTGTGACTTCAAAACCTGTGATGATTTACAATTATACTGAGGGATGAAGCTGACTGGGCAGAAATTACATCAGATTGTTTTCCACTAGTGTATTTGCAGCCAGTTGACAAGAGCAGCAGTGTAGACACATTCCAGGCAACAGATGTGACCTTCTTCTTTGAGGTATCAGCCCTGTCATATGACCTTTAATTCCTCAGGCTTTAGTCTCACCCCCATGTTCACCTTCATCCCGAGGGAAAGTAAGGTGTGTCACTGTGGTAGTTGTAGTCAGGGCACACTTTCTGTACCAGTTTATAATCTGTACTATAAAAGGAAATGTAAATACAGATCACCTTAAAGGGCTTGGAGCAGAGCCAGGATACATGACTTTGGGTCTGCTCCTGGTAACAGGTTTTTGAAGGGTCATAGTTGCAGAGTGTGTTCTTGGTAGCCTTGTCAACCTTTTCATATTCAATGCGACAATTGAAAGACTTGGAATCTTTGGCATCAATCACAGTTTGTTGTGCCAAGTCAAATTCCACAATTTTTGTAGGGGGTACCAAGCTGACAGATACATTCCCTTGACCAGTTGAATTATGCCTGAAATAAACACTAAATGTTCCATTGCCGTGATCTACAATTTTCCCAGTTATCAACAGATTCAGCTTCACTGTTTTGATGTTGGAATGAAAATCGCCCCATCCAAACATTTTCTTAAACTTGCCCGTTTTAACAATGGGCCTTCTCTTGGCCCTGGGTCGAGGCTCTTGAAGGTCTGTGGAGTTCCTCAGCCAGTCCCAGAGGTCTTGCTCAGAATAAGGTTCTGGGGTGTCATATCTCAGGTCCAAATCTGTATCATTCTCTTTGCCACGAAAAGTCTGTGACAAGAGTCGACTGATAGACAAGTCTTTGCCGCTTTCTGTCCATATATGCTTTAGTGTGGATTTGCTGCTTCCTGATTTCAGAAGTTCTGACTTTCCACCGTTCGTTAAATTGGCACATGTGACCTGAAAACAGAACGGAAAAATGGCATTTACATCTCTGTATCTGAGAATAACACTGAATGCATAAATCCAAGCCTTCTCTGAGTCTCAGAATTAAATAATTACACTTTTTTTTAAAAGCACCGCATCTGAGAAGAACACCCAAAGCACAGATTCAAGCCCCCTCTCCCAGAGTCTCAGAATTAAATAATTACATTTGAAAAGCACCATCAGCATCTGGCTAATATTTATTAATATGTGATAAAATACTTCTATTTTTGTATAACAATGGAAGAAGGGAGATGTGGGTGGAAAAACTACTAAATATGACCTAAAAATTATATAAAACCATTGGTTAATGGAAGAAAAGGCCACCCAGCATGAATAAAGCAAAGTGAATTCAAATATAAACCAAACTAATTACTTCTTAGCACAAAAATCCAAACTTTTGAAATCAAATTTTATAAATCATTACATTCTTTTTCTATTTCAAAATTACCCTAAGCTTTAAAACTGTATGATTCTCTGGACACAGAGAGGAAGACAGCACACACCAGAGCCTGTTGAGGGGTGGAGAGGTGAGGGGAGGGAACTTAGAGAACGGGTCAATAGGTGCAGCAAAACACCATGGCAAATGTATACTTAGGTAACAAACCTGCATATTCTGCACATGTATCCCATTTTTTAGAAGAAATAAATATAAACTGTGTGATTCTCAGACATATGTCAACTGACACCCTTTAAACTATTTAGTTATCCATATTACAGTCATATTAGAAAAGTTAGTTTTGCAAAGGGACTCCAGTATATTTTAACTGATCAAAACAATGTTTACTACCACCTATAATAAGCAAGGAATATATTGAATAAGACAATTTTTTACCTTGCAGGGCTTATCATGTGGTCTAGAAAAGTGACTTTTAGTAATTGTCAAGTCTAGAGAAACCAACATGCGGTCAATGACTGAGAGGTCACTTCAGGGTGGATTATGAGAGTCACAAGCAGACACTGTTCTCCTAGGACTCCAAGATTATTTCTTAGGAAAGAATTGTATCTCAAACTGCACAGAGATACAGAAGAACCAGTGACCACAACGACTACATTGGCCCATAGTTAAAGCAGTAACTTCTTATCCTGACGTGGAAGAATCAAGGACAGGAGCTAACAGAACTAAAGACCTACAGGAACTAAAATAGCCAATACCAGTAAACCACTCAATATGCGGACTTGCTGTTTTAAGGTACAGCTGTTGAATGGAGTCCCCAGCCACCCATTAAAAAGCCACATTCCACAATAAACTTATATTGCCATGTCCCTGGAGAACCAGTTCTGAGTCTTGTCTCAGCCTGATTACTACTCGGCAGCTTCATTGGACCCTCCAGTCTCCTTCCAAACTGTTCTTAAAATGAATGGTCATTCCTAGAAAGCTCTTTAAAATTCAGGCCCATTAGGAATTATAGCTGTGCTCCAGAGACACTTCCCTAGTCTTAGCTGTGTGGGACTCATGTTAGGATACAAATGTGACCTGAAAATAGCATTTTAGTCAACCACTTGTTGCTGAAAGGATGTATTCTCAATCTCTGGGGAGCAAGACCATAAATTTTAGAGCCAGACTCCCTGGAATTCCCTCCCAGCTGACACTGCCAACCTGTGTGCCCTTGGTCAAGTTAACTTCCCTCTGCCTCTGTTTTCCGCATCTAGAAAATGTAGGCAATATGATATCTAATTTATAAGTTTGTGAGGATTGAATGAGTTAAAACAGGTAAAACCTTTAGAACAGTGGCTAGCGTTTGGAGAGGGCTCAATAAATGTAGCTATTATTGTGAATACCAAGCTGATGTTTGAAGACAATTAGAGAAAGAAGCCAAATAATACATATGGAGATCTTGCCTGGGAGAAGTTTTTCCCAGGATTGCACAGCCAAGTGCTGTGGGACATGGATGTAGAGAACCTTGGTCATCTAAACTAGAACAAAAGCTCTTAGATCTTGTAATCCTTCTTTTCAAGCCAGGAAGTAGTCTCCTCTTTGCCCTCTTCAAATTGAGGTAATGTGAGTGTAGTTGGACTATTCTCGCCCAGAAAGAATACCACCTGAAGCTGTAATCTTTCTAATAATGCTGAGCTTAAAAACCCTGAAAGTTTGTCTCCATGAAAATTCATTGCATCGGAGATAACAGGCAACTTCATCATGCGTTCATATGACAGCACCCTGAAAAGTCAAAACTGAAACTTTGGGTAGGTAACCAAAATACTGTCAACTCTTTCAGGCTGCTAGCTTGAGTACAGTTGCATCGGCTGTGATCCCTGAGGCAATGGCAATGGCTTCATGGAAAGATGCAGAGGGTCATTGTGTGCAGAGATGAAGGAAGAATAGATAACACTGACCAATGGAGAATCAGACTCTGGATTATTGTGCGGGCAAGGTCACATCTAAGAGAAACACGGACCAGACTCATGTATGCAGTCAGTCTTTAAAGTGTCAGCTACCCACAAAGAGCAAACACCCTGATGTGGAGTCAAATATGGCTATCAGATGGCCATTACTGGTCTTGAGGAAAATATAGGAAATTGAGATAAGGTTATCTTTGCTGCCAACGTTTTTTTAGTTTTAAGTGCTTCCCCTTCACTTTTGCTCAACCCTTGCTTTGGTATCTCTTCTTTCCCCTATGTACCCAAACGCTTTCCTGTTTACAGATTTTCCTCATACCAAAATATTATCCCAGAAATGGACCACATTCAAATAGTAGAAATGACTAATAACAGCAAAATGGTTGCTTTAGCACAAGTAATTTTTAATAAGAATTAAATATTAATTTCTAATAGGATAAAATTGAGGAAAAATATTCCTTGAGAGAAGAGGATTATGTATAGGAATATATAAGTTTTCTTAAGAAAAAAGCATTAAATTTCCAATCTATCCTGACAACAAAGCCATTCCATTAAGGAAAAAAATATTTACTCTCACATCAAAAGTATAATCCCTAGCAGTTCCAGAGTTAGTATTTTTCATTACAATTATAAAACTAATAAAAACAACTACAGCTCTCCCACTAATTTTCTGAAGGTACTGCATTTCAAAAGATACTATTTTTCTATAACACAGAGTAGCTATAATGTAAAATTTAAAACTAACATTAATCAGTAAAAATAATACATACCTTTGGATTTGGGAGAGTGTGTGTGTTTTAATAAAATCTAATTGATTAAACATCTGAATCTGCACTTGCCTAGTTACATAAGCATTGCCCTTATCACAGTTCCTACATTTATGCCTCAGTATAAAACAAATACATATGTATCCTCTTCTCTTGTTTTTGCCAGGAATTATCTAGACAGTTTCCCATTGTTTGTGTGGCAAAAAGAATAAATACAGGCATGCATTTAGCAGTGACTTAGTACTTATATCTCAGCGTAAGCACAGGGCTATACCGAGATGCTTTCATGATGCACTGGCTAATGAAGCAGTAATGAAATTATCCCAGAGAAGGAGGAGAAGAGGGATTTACAGTTCAATTTACCAGTAGCATAGGGGGAATGAAAGGAAAACATGTGGAAGTAGTGAATATGGTTTCAAGAAGGAAGAATCAATCTATTCAAAAAGATGCTAAGACTCCTCTGACAGGCAAACAAACCTCTGATTTTCAGGTAGAATAGAAATTGTTTAGTTCTAAATTATATTATCCACAGCTGTAGTAATTATGAGCATGCACTCTGGAGCCAGACTGCCTGAATCCCAGTCCAGGCTCTGATCTTTTAACAGCTGTGTGATGTGGGCAAGTTACTTAACTTGTTTAAGCTTCACTGTTTCTCTCTTCTAGGGAATAGAAGAATAATATCAATCTTCTTCACAGGGCTGTTATGAGGATTAAATAGGGCACTCCGTTTAAATCACTAAAGACAGTACCTGGAACACTGTTCAATATTAGTAGCCCTAGCTGTTGTCACCAGATATTTTTACCTCTGAATCTCACTACATAATATTTTATGTAAATTATTAATTTGTAATTTGATTTAAAAGCATAAAGCATTCTTGAAAGAAAATCTCCCTTCAATATAACCACAAACTTAAAGCAAACAATTCAAAACAAAGCATGCTGTGGGGGAAAGCAGGGAGAAGAAAATGGGGAGAAAATGAGCATAAAGTTTTAATCAGGTTGAAATAAATTCTAGAGGTCTGCTGTACAACATTGTACTTATAGCCAGTACTGTATTTTACAGTTTAAAATTTTAAGAGGGTAGAACTCACATTAAGTGCTTATACCACAATAAAATATTTTTTAAAATTTATATTAAGGATAGCATCGATATATATTGAACTCTAAACAAACATGTATTGAAATGCTGAAAAGGAAAGAAAGCAAGCATATATTTTTGAAAGTGCTGCTGTGACTATCTAAAAAATACGGCAAGTAAAGTAAGTGGTTGAACTCAAGTTAACAAAGGATGAGCATAAATTTAGCTATTAAATAGCTTAGCTTCCAAATGCAATGAATTATTTGCCTTCAGTGATATAATGGGAACGGCTTCAAGTGGTGCTGTCAGGAAGCCTCTCTGGAACATCTCAGTGTGGGTAAAGAATCAAAGCAGGTTTCAGCTGTAATCATCATTAACACTGTCTTAAATATTCCTATTCCCTCAGTCCTTGCTTTTTTCTTAGATTGGGAAGGGAGTAGGGCAATGTCTAAAAGAGAATGTAAATCTGCAAAAACCAGGAAGGTTCCTTAGCAAAGTCCCCAGAGCTGTTCAATACTAACAACTCCAATTTCTTTTGTCTTATTTACAAAATAGCTGTATAGTGAGACTACGTGAATATTGAGTGGAATAAAGAAATGCAAACATAAATGGCACATGGTCCTGGCTCTCAAGAAGTTTATAGTTTACTGGAGGCATCAATTAAGCCATCACAGTGTGATGCGACCAGCACTATGTGTAACATTCCAGCAGTCATCGTCAAAGTTGAAAGGTAGAGAAGGTATAACAGAAGAGATGATCCTTAGATGTAGCAGATAAAAGAGGCTTGGTAG